ATTTTAATAGTTGTAGAATTTGTTCAAAGACTTGAAAATGTAGAAGATGTGAAAAATAGTAGAACTGACAAGAGGAGCAGTAAAGACGTCTGCTCTCGCCGCAACCCAGAAGAGGGACCCCTAAAAATTGCTTTTACTTCTGGTATATCTTTCAAACTTCTTGACACAAGCCAGGTTGACACAATGATAACTGACCAGCCCCCAGTGCAGAACCTGTGTTTGTTTCTGTGAAAACACACTTCTGGTTCTCAGTGCGCAGGTGAAAGCCTTTGTTTAGGTGTATATTGACCCGCTTGTGTGTTGATAGATCTTGTTTAAGAGTATTGTGCTTCTAGATTGTGTTTTGTCTCAAGTGTAAAAACTATCACTTCTTGTGTACAAATAAGACCATAGGGTCATGAACCATGATGGTATTTCTTAAAAAGATGTTCCAATTTCCTATAACATGGGTTTACTTTTTGTTTCAGCCATTATTCCTATAAGTAATTCTAACACTATTCATCAGTGATGACACTGGCAAAAACAGGAGATGTCCATAAATACCAATGTGGTAATTAACTGGAATTTTATTTAAAGAGGGGCTTGTGTTGTTTTATCAAAGAAAAGCACAAGATCTGTTCTGTTCACTTTTTTAAAATTAAACTGTTTAAATATTACATTCATCAATCAATCAAACTTTTTTACCAGCTGAATGGCTGCCACAAATGAACAGAATAAAAACCTGATATGTACTTATTACAAGATTTAAAAAATGACCTATTTGATATGTAAACTGACTACTGCATTGTTTTCTGCATCTTGTTATACATACAAACATGGATTAACTGAGGGGTCTGCAGTGATCCTCTCTGCACTCCTTTTGACCTGTGAGGTGTACAGGTCCTCCACAGAGGTTGATTTGTGTCACCATCTCGGACGAGACCGATGACTGACGTGTCATCTTTGAACTTCAGGAGCCTGACAGAAGGGTCCTTCCAGATGCAGTTGTTAGTGTAGAGTGAAAACAGCAGAGGGGAGAGCACACATCTCTGGGGGGCACCTGTGCTTATTGTCCAGGTGCTGGATGTGATTTTCCCCAGCCTCACCTGCTGCTTCCTATCTGTCAGAAAGCTTGTAATCCACTGACAGGTGGGGGCAGGCACAGTGAGCTGGGTCAGTTTGGAGTGGAGGATGTCTGGGATGATGGTGTTGAATGCCGGTGTGTCATTTCTCAGCAGCTGGTGCCACCCCCACATGATCAAGAAGCCTAGCAATGGGATTCACCACACCTCCTCACTGAGATAAAGGTTTTTGTTTTCCTTGCTCAGAGTGGCTCTGAAAACTCCTAAATCACTTCTAAGATAGGACTTCTTGCTAAGGGTAAAAACTCTCTGAGAGTCATTCTCATAATGTGTGAAAACATGGGCCCTGGTAACACTAAGACGAAAGGATTTTGTAGCAGAAGTAAGTGTGCTAAATTAAATTACCAGTTAGAAGCTGTGGTGGTGATGTTAAAATCATGGGACCATAGTTTGTTCAGAGCCTAAAAATTGCTTTTACTTCTGGCAATTGTATTTGGGCTTCAAAAATCATAAAACGGGTGTTCACTTGTGAAGATTATTTTGCTGAACAAAACATGTCATAAACTGTTGTTTTGTCTTATTTTAAACTGCTTTTGTTGTTGTTTCTTATTTTGCCCAATAATCCAAAAGCCTATGAAAAACCCCCTTTGGCTTTTTGTCGAGGGAACCAGAGTAATGCTAACTTCTGTGCTGGCCTACAGCACTCAATTTTTTCCAAATATTTAAATCTATGCATTGTGTATATTTACTATCTTGCAGCCCTCTTCTTCACTGTTCTTTCTTGGCCATCACAACACGTCTTGCACATGACCAAATATAGTAGATTAACTGAATAGCATGTAATCAATGTGAATCTTATTTCACAGGTTGATAAGACAAATGTGTTTACAGATAATTTACACATCCAACAAATGGACAAGAGAATCATTCTTTTAGAGCCGTGGTTATGGCCATCTAGCAAATTTAAGTCCATTAATTACACTTTATTTACACTTATGTTTTAGTCTCCACCAAATCATGAAAAGACTCATTACCTACTAAATTCTAAAATGTTAACCATCTAGTTGCTAACTTTGTCTGCCTATTGGTGCTGAACAGGTAGTGTATAAGGGTTTTAGAGTCTTTCCCTTGAAAAATGCTGCCTGTCACTGCTGGACTCTAGAGTGATAAGAGCTGTGACAATCAGAAGAATTGGGTCATACTGTAATTCTCTGAGTGACATCATTCACACACATGTGAAAATACACTGTAAAGACTGCTGCTGTAATGCCCAGTGATAATCAATTTAGACTTGTGAGGTACAATATTTTACAGAAATGTTACTGGATTAGACCTCATAACTGGCAAAGTGACTCTTGTATCACTAATTCAGGTATGAGAGATATAGAGTTGTTCATCACTAAGGTGTCTGGAATAGGCTTTAATAAGTAGGTGAAGAGGATGAATTTGATGAAACTTGTCTTTTAACAACAGACCTTAAATGCTGCCAAAAAACCCTCAAATATTCAAAGGGGAAAAAAACAATGGCTACAGAACAGAAAATGAGAAGTCAGTGGGAGGTAGGGGTTCAAGCAGCACTTTATTTGGATCAGATGCAGGACAAAGACACTTAGCAGCACTCGGTACATTTGTACAGTGCACGACTGATTACTATTTATGTCCAGAGACATCATCATTATGTCTGAACTCTGTGGGAGGGAACTGGGGCTTCAGAGATTGTCAGTTGACTTTTACAAGAGCTCCAACACCCCCATCCCTCCCCCTCAATGTACAGCTCATGGCTTTTGTGTGCCTGCAGTCAACTGTTCACATTTCCACATGGATAATGAGGGCTTCACCCCAACAATGGTGACATCAGTGAGGCTGAAGGAGGCATTATTGACACTATCTGTGGTGTGTCTGCAGTGGAGACATCTCTGTGCCTTTTCTTCACAACCATAAGCTCACAACTGTATTCATGCAAAGAATTGACAAAAGAAATGAATTACAACCAGTTTTGATTATCACAGTAAAAAAAGACCACAGGACCACAGTGATATTACTCAGCACTGTAAGCTAATCAAATATTCTTAAAAGCCTCTAGTCAGCCTTTGAGTACCACTCATCTGAAGCACTCGGAGGTAATCTATCAGTGGTCTGACTCATAGCACCTTCTGTTTTTTGTTCATGCACATTGCTGTGGCTGGTTGATTCATTTGCCACCCTCCTGGATGTCAAACTGTCTGTTGGGTTTTGTGGACCCCAGCATGAGTTCAAAGAGCTCACCAATCTGTTCATCCTCGAAGTCGCCCTTCTGACAGGTTGGCTCCAAACCTGACTGAGCTGAGTTGCTCTTCTGCTGACTCCAGAACCTGAATCTGCGGGATGTCCTTGGAGTTCTGTGGGAGTAGGCAGCAATGACACAGACCACTTTTAATACTGACAGAAATATCAGTAGCATTTATCGCCTAGTCTTCCACCCCATCTCCACTGTCAGATTCACAAAAGACCTGCAGTGTGACCAGTGCAGTAAATGGTTCAGAATGGATGTGTTTTGCATACAGTAGTTTTTTGTCAACTTCTACATGCACAACCAAACCCACAATTAACTGACCCTACTAACAAGTATTGTGTGCAGCCATAGCCGGATAGTAGCTTATTCCTCTGTGTCAGAGCTCTATTGTTGTTTTTATTAATTTTTGGACAAAGTGGGCAATGCATTTCTTCATTACTATGAACACACACATACATGTCTTTATGCCTTTGTGTGGCCCACGTTCTGTGACTTCTTTGTGAGGGCCACCACTTCTACTATAGCTACAATGGTGCAAAACACAAATTTATCATGAGGTGGCAATAAAGAATCAAAATGTCACTTCAGAATTCAGAAAACTCGAAATAAAAAAAATCTTTTTCTTCTACACGTGTGAGGACCGGAGCCTGTTGCCAAGCAGATTTGATGAACTGGACCTTCTGTCACAAAGCACCAAAGCAATGCATGTTATATCACCAGATTTTAGCAGATCTTTCATAACTGTCCCATCTTACATTCCTGGTTAACCCAAACCATAGTATTACAGAGATGGAAGCATGTGGTTTTTAATTTTGCCAATGTAAAGTGTATTTAACCCTTGTGTGGCATTCACTTTTTGTGTGTGCGTGTGTGTGGAGATGTGTGGTTCTCCATGGGTGAAGCAGAGTGCAGCATGACCTGTTTGGGACTTTGAAAAATTAATGACCTGTGGTCCTGGTACTCAGTATTGGGAGTAAAATTTCTGTTCCCACACAGTGTAATACCTGAAGCATGAAACTCCATTTGGAGTACCAGGGGCACGAAGTTGTGGCCGGGCAGTTTTAAATTGTTTAGCCCAGGGAGGGGGCTTAAGCGTGGGTACACAGGTTCAACCGGTGCGCCGGGTGCCTGGAGCTCTGGTTCACCAGGGGAGCTAGCCGGTTTCTTTCCCCCACTATGGAGCTCCATTCCCGCAGTACTCCCTGGTGATAATGAAGCATCGAGTCCCTGGGGCTTTGGTTCAGATTATTTATATGTAAATATAATGTATAGTCCACGTAGGCTCAGGTCAACAGCTTTTTTTCTTTTGTCAGTTTTCTGTTAGTAAAAATCTAAGAAAGGGTCAATTTGACCTGGACGCAACACAAGGGTTAAATTTGATTGTATTTACATCTATTAAAAAATGTATTATAAAAATGGTATATGGTATGCATTTCTGCATTTAAAACTGGGTAGTTTTGCAGACATCTAAACTTTAGGTTTTTTCAATCTTACATCTCACTTGCTAAGTTAGCTCAACACCAGTAACACTGAAAGCAATGTTTGTCAAAGTCCTCTAATCTTGATTTACCTATTTTAATTCACCCACTCCATTGATAGAAGCTTGATAAACAATTTAGCACTAACAAAATTAGTCACAACTGGGTTTATTTGGGGCAGCATGGTGGCACAGTGGTTAGCGCCGTTGCCTCACAGCGCGAAGGTTCCGGGTTCGGGCCCCACCTGGGACCTTTCTGTGTGGAGTTTG